CACTTAACCTCAATTGCCTCACCAAAAAAAAAAAAAAAAAAAAAAGAGGGAACTATTGCCACAATATCCCCCTTGCTCTTATCAAGGACTTAAGCTGACAAAGTAAAACCTTGTTTTTAAAGCAAGTAAAGTGGAAAATTTCCTCTCCTTCCATCAATCCACAATATTTCCTCAAAAAAAAAAATCTGGAGAGGCAATAGTGTGTAAATAGAACTGGTGTCAGAGTAAGGAAGACTCAGTTCTACTCTATTTATTTTAGGCAAGATACACCCTGGCCTCTTAGGCAGGCTTAAGATTTGGAGAGATTTAGTTAACAAGAAAGAAGGTTTGTTTTTTTTTTAAACACACAAAGTACACCTCCTTTACTAAATACCAACAAACCTTTAGTCAGAGGATAAATTAACAGGTATAGCTCTCCAAGTCCCTGCCCAAAGGGACATGTGTACACAAGCTGATAATGGCAGCAGTTCAGGTGGGAATAAAAAAAGTTCATCAGGTCCAAGGAGCCATACTTCCTTGATACTGATTTATACAGCAATAAGGAATGGATTTGATTGGCACCTTCTCTGCAACTTAAAAGTCTCAGAGAGTAGCCTAGAGCAGTGAGGTGTTTAGTGACTTGCCCAGGGTCACACAGCCTATATCTGTCAGAGGGAGGATTCGAAACCAGGTCTTCTTGGCTTCAAAGATGAGTCTCTTTACATCATGCCACCCTGCCTCTCAACAGCTGGTTTATTTAGGATTCACCAAAAATGGGACTTTAGTGCACTTAGCTTATCTGCATTCTGGGTCTCTAACAAGTAATGGCTATAAGTCATTAACAACCAGACCATGCAGCCTGGATGGTCCCAAGGCCTGGTCAGAATGAGTAATGCCTAAGACAGCTGCTTCTGAACCATCCTGGCTGTTTGACCCTGGCAAGTCCCTCAACCTCTCAGTATCCTGATAGTTCTCTAAATGGAAGAATAGGTACCAACCTGAATTAGTAAAGAGAATTTCCCCATCAAGGATTCCCTATACCAATGAAATCCTAAGTCCAGTTTTTTTTAAAATGTAACAAAGTTTTATGTGTCCCATGCAGTCTAGTCCTACCTAGATTTTTAGTAATTTCTTATTCCTATTTCAAATTCCCATTTTCCAGCTACCTGCACATCTCTCTCTGTTTCTGGCACTTCTCTGTACAGAAGACTTTATGTATAGTATTCCTCCATTAGCTTGTAATCTCCTTGAGGGCAAGGCACACACTTCCTCCTTTTTTTTTAAAAACAATTCCCCAGAAAATACTGAAGACTTTGTACAAGGTGAATGTAAACATTGTGGATGCAAGAACACGGACACCTTCCTCTTTGTCCACAGTGTTCAAAGTGATGGTTTCAAAAGGTAATCCCAAGGAGAATCAGATCAGGTCAGTGGAGAAGCCCTGCTGGGCTCCAGATTCCCTTTCCTCTAAAGTAGTGATGTTTCTCCAGGGGGGAAACGGTAGGGGGGCTGCTGCAAAGCTTCCTCTCCTCACTTTGCCCACAGCCTAGCCCTGTCCTTCTCCAGGGGTACAAATGCAGGAGCAGCACACTTCAGACTTCCCATGAACCTCCAGGCCTGCTAAACACTTCTTGTTTTCTAAAGGAACACAGAAATAATCCTAAGGAGCTGTGGGGGTCCCAGAGGTTTGGAGAACCCTAGAGATTCCAGCAGCCTCCACAAGCAGGGGATCTGCATCCAGACTGGGGTGGGGGGGCAGTATCATAAAAAATTCTCCTCAGCAGCAGAAAACTCAGGTTTATGTAAAGCAATAGGGATGTAATAGAGACACTTGGCAAGTACATCTAGATTTGGACACAACTACTTTTCCATCCAAATAATATCCCATCAGTAGAAATGACATCCAAATGCCTTTTCCCCCCACATCACACTATCCTGAGTTTGTCAACCCTGTCCCTCAAATCTGTGAGCATGGAATTCTTTCATTAAAGAAAATGGGAGCATTGTAAATGGAGTAAAACCCCATTGATGCAGCTGGAAGAAGGAATCAGTCCCTTTAGGTTAAAAAAATTGTCACCTGAGTGACACTCTCTCTTGAGTATGCTTTTCCTTCTTCACAAGTCCACTATTACTTTTTAAAAACCTGGCTGACAAGTTCAGACGATGTGTTAATGAGGGCAAGCCCTTTGGTCTCACCTGCTGCTGGCGAGGCCCTAATGCCAAACGGCTGCACTCACAAAAGCAACAACTAGAGGGAGAAGACGAGGCCTCTAATCCCACCTCTGCTTCTTGCTGCTCACACGGCTTTGGGCAGGTTGCTTAACCTGCCTGGGCTCAATTTCCACATGTGTCCAAACACAGGTTTGGATTCCATGGCCTCTGAGGCCCCTGTCAGCTTCAGATCTATGCATATGACTTGGCAAATAAGCTAAAACACATTCATAGACCTGATGGTGGGCCAGCCACATCTTAATAGAAGAAGGATGACCCTCTCTTTTAAACCAAAATGACAAAACCCAGTCCGAGGACAAGATCCTGCTGAAGGCAATCGGTACCTCAGCTCTCCAGCCACATCGCCATGTTGAGAGTCTCCAATTATCTCAGGCAAACTGGTTATGAGGTCATGCTGCAGGGTCACAGGTGCAATACTGATCAGCTGCATAATCTTGGTTGTAAGGTCCTAGAAGGTTTAAAAAAAAAAAGGAAAAAACTAGTAAATTGTGAAGAAAGCCAACCGAGAAAGGCTTTCCATTCCCATCTGTGGGACAAAGCATAAAACTGATATTCTGCTCTTAATTATGCAGACTTAATCCCAAAGCCTGTGTCCAGGTGTAACTAGGCAAAGCTTTGGGTAGAGCTCTACCCGAACTTCAGGGTTGGGGGGAAGATAAGGGAAGTGAGATGGTTGGGAGGATTTGGAGAAAGAAAGAAATGAAATGACTCATGTGTCACCTCTATGAACCCTTCCTCCATCCTCTTAGCTGAAAGTGCTTTCTTCATCCTCAGAAATCCCCTAACCCCCTTTGTTTAACCCTTTTAGGGGAATTTCTCATACTCAGCTTTGTGTTTATATTTATTGATATTTGTATTATGTTATTTCTGCCTATGTCTCATCTCTATGTAAGACAAAGACAATGTCTTATTCATGTTGCAGCACACTTAGCACCTAGATGTTCCTTTGCCCATCACTGGCTCTCACATATATTAACTGTTTCATCCCACGGCATGTATTTCTTGCCCTGACTTTTCCATTTTTGCCTGAACTTCAAGCCATTCTTCCCCTTTTTCCTGGACCACCAGGCTAGAATTCTCAAGAAGGACCTAATCGAGATATTACTCCTATCTCACATCCCCAGTCCACATTTCCACTCACACAGACCAGTAGGATATACTTTCAGTAAAACCTGAATACTGGATTGGGGTTTTACTGGATCCCACAATCAAAGGCAGCCCTTCCAATGGACCTAAATATCTTGGGCTACCATTTATAGGGCTGGGTAATCAGACATCATCACCCTCACACTTCTGGGGACCACACCCCCACCTGGCTTTCATCTGGCCCTGACCACTACTCAAATGCCTCAGCTATAGCTCCACCATACCTGGTATGACTGGTAAACAATGCCACTAGTTGAAGATCTCTAAGACAAGCCTCCAGCAGTCCTGGATTCCTAGGCCACAGTGTCACAGTCCAGACCACCAGCCTGTGACAACCTTTACCCAACCCCTACCCTAAGGCCCCACTTCCTATCAAATAGAGTGAACCTGCATCATACTTGAACAACCCATAGGCTGTGTTCCTGTCAAATTGTGTTAAACTAGCCATCATAAGGCATTATCTGGGCCTCAAACTTCTATATTGCTTCAACAGAGCCCTGACTAGTGGGCCACACACATTTACCCAGTCCTGACCTCCAGGCTAAGGGTACATCATACTCCAATGCCCAGGATGGGAATCCATTTATTCATTCATTCAATATACCTTTAAATACCTACTATGTACTAGATATGGGAGATACAAAGCAAAAACAAGATAGGCCCTGTTCTCACGGAACTTACATTCAGTTGGGGATGGCGGAAGAGGGGAATAACTTATACAAAGATAAGTAAACAGACACAAAAAATAATAAAATAAAAAAAAAAACAACTACACTATCATAGTTGAGTAGGCTTCTACGTACCTTATTAAAGCACTTAAACATTACCTATTTATAATGGAAAATATGACAAGTAAAAAGACAATAATCTGCATTTCCCTGCTATGAAAATGATAAACATGAAGCATATGAGGAAATACAAAAAGAATTGTTGGATGTCATTCCATTTTTTGACTTTCATTTATATTTTATTATATGCTCAAGAATAAAAATTCTTTATTTGCATATTTATTAGATTATTTTTGTTATTAAGTTTATAGTAAAAATAAAAAATAATCAATTACTTTTCAAATTTCTATTCCTTAGGTAATAAAATCTAATCACTATATTCTAATGAAAAATATTTTGGATAAACTGTAAAAAGTTAACCACCACCATCATTCTCAATGATCATTTCTCAATAAACTATACTACACGGAAAAAAGGAATTGATAAAAAGAAGTAGCTAAAGGGAAAAAAACCCTGCAAATTACAAAGTTTTTAGACATGGTCAATATGGAATTTGTTTGATTTGACTACACATATTTGTCACAAGAGTTTTGGTTTTCTTTCTTGTTTCCCCTCCAGTGGAGAGAAAAGAGATGGGAAGGAGAGAAAAAATGCTTGTCAATTGAAAAAAAGATTTTAATTTTAAAAAGTTTATCCTTATATACAATTGGAAAATAAACAACAATGGCCATAAAGCATACCTTGCCATCAATAATCCTGTCAAGCCATTTCAATTGATTGATAATAAGCCGAGGCATGTTGAGTCCATCATTATTAACGCTGAAATGTTAGAACAGGGGAAACACAAGGAGTTTTAGCCTTTTTTATATGAATAGCAAATCCTAATATCATTCAGAAGTTTTCTTTCTGCTGTGTATGACTTTCAGGAAAGTTGGGCCATTTCAAAGAAAGCTTCCTTGAGGAGACTCCTTTCCAGGTCACACTGGGTCTCTCTGTACATCTGCCACTCACCTCTCATAAAGAAACTCTGGCAACTTTTCAAATAAGATTCTAATAATGGCAGGCTGTAAAAAAATATATATAGGTAAGAAGTTAGCCTACTCCAAAACATTAAAAGAAAACTTATAGTGACCAATGTCACCAATGCTCCCCAATGAGCCCAGGAATGCCCACGTTAAACCATCAGAGCAACTCTTACTACATATCCTAGTTTACAAGAAAGATACCTAGCTTTAAAACAAAAACTGCAAGAATCTGTAACTTGTCCTAACGACCAGCAAAGCACCATGAATAAACACTCAATGAAGATTTAGTATTAATAGTGCTAACTGTAAATTCAGTAAATGGAATATTTAAAGCAGTCATCAGGTAATAACAAGAAATTTAACTAAGGACCAAAAAGGTATCTGAAGGGCTGTCAGTCAAGTGGAGGAGGAATTAGCTTTGTCCTGCTTGACTCTGCAGAATGGGAACTGATGGATGGAAGATGCAAAGGGCAGATTTGGGTATGATATAAGGAAAGCTTCCTAATGACTGACACTCTAAGAGGGAAAGACCACCTCAGAACTAGTGAGATTCCACTTGACCAGAAGTGTTGAAGGAGGGGCCAAATGACCCCTGGTTGGGTATGCTGTAGAGCAGATTCATGTTCAAGCATGATCTCTGATGGCCTTCCAACTCCGAGATTCTCCACTGAAGAATTACGTTGACTAAATCATACCCAGCTTCCAATGGAATGAAAAAATTTAAGGGTAAGGGAAGAAGACAAAGTGAAACTGGAGAAGAGGAGAGTTGGCAGAGACGTGTGAGACCCAGAGGTGAGAAACTGAGAGGTAAGGGAAATCAGGACCACATGGACTTGGTAACAGAGAGGTCTACTGGATGAAACAATCACCAGTTGTATGGCCCAGAAATTAACCCACTGGAATTAGATCCATTTAAGCAGCAGCACAGCCCTAAGTGGTACTGGAGGCACATGGCACTAGATGGACCCTCAGTCAACTTTTAAAACAAGTTCAGCTAAGGTTGGGAGATAGCCACAACTCTAGGGGCCCTGGCATACTGCTAGGCCAGCAGGGATAGAAGAACAATATGTGGAGGAGTGCTATCTGGTAGCTTCCTATTTTAACTGTTCCTATTAACTAGGTGTGAAGTTCCATTGTTTCTATACTGCTGAAGGACTTCACATGTCAACAGCAATCTCCAAGTTTGCCTTCCATCTGTTACTTCTATTTTTGTATAAGGCTGCGAAACAGTGGAACGTGCCAACATCACCATTACATTCATGTCTTGACAGTACTTGAATCATTTACACAAACTACAGCCCTTTTAAAATTTTTATTTGGGGGAAAAAAGTCAAAATCTCACCTGTAAACTGTCAATCCCCAGCAATAGTTTAATGAGGCTCTTATAGTAAGGAGTGACCATGCTGTAAAAGAGAAACACAGACTCCACTCTAAAGCATAAGCAATGAAAAGACGGCCCTTAGCCAGGAGAGAAGTTGATACATTGTGTTAATACAAGTGACACAATGGCTTGCTGAAAGAATTCTAGAAAAACTCTTTGGCTCTTAACCCTCCCAGTCATCCTCGAAGCTGAACTACTGGAGGCATCGGGAAGAAGGAGCCATAACATGCTGAAATTTCAGGCAATTCTACCTCAGAGAGATACTGTACCTGAGACATAACTCAACTGTACTAGATCCACCTCCCTTCCCATACCTTGTCTCCTCTTCTTGTAGTCGTTCACAAGACAAAAGGCAGTTCCTGAAACAGTCTCGATCTTCTATGTATGACTCCAGGCCACTAATAAATTCCTCCACTGCCTTCAGGAAAAGAGGAAAAGGGAATAAGACTCTTGATTTAGAGCAAGGGTTCTTAACCTGGGGTTCATAAAATTGTTTGTTTGTTTAATTTTGATAACTGAATTTCTTGTTTTTGTTTTTGGTGGGGGGAGGGGGTAATTGGAGTTAAGTGACTTGCCCAGGGTCACACAGCTAGTAAGTGTCTGAGGTTGGACTTGAATTCTGGTCCTCACAACTTCAGGGCTAGTGCTCTATCCACTGTGCCACCTAGCTGCCCCTGATAACTGTATTTCAATATGTGATTTTCTTTGCAAGCCTATTTATATATTAGTTTATGCATTTAAAAACATTACTCTGAGAAGGGATCCCCAAGCATAACTAGACTGCTAAAGGGGTCCATTACACAAGAAAAGTTAAGAATACCTGATTTAGAGTTTTCTTGTCAGTGGCAAAATATGACTCTAACCTATCTCAACTCCGCAATGGCCATTTTTTTTGTTTTGTTTTTTTAAATTAGGCAGTTGGGGTCAAGTGATTTGCCCAGGGTCACAGAGCTAGTACGTGTCAAGTGTTTGGTCTGAGGCCGGATTTGAACTTAGGTCCTCCTGACTTCAGGGCCGGTGCTCTATCCACTGTGCCACCTAGCTGCCCCTGCAATGGTCTTATTCAAGCTGTTGGTGCTTCAGTATAAAGTATTGCTGGTAAAAACAGAAAAGTCAGGGCAAGAAATACATACTTTGGGATAAGAAGGGTGTTTCCTCAAGGCTTGAGAGAGCTTTCTTTGGAAAATTACTTGATCCACAGCTATGAAATAAGAAATAAAAAGTTGGCATCAGACGCAATGACCAAATTAAATTTCAAGCAGATTGTCTTTGATGCAGATTACTATTTCAAGTTCTACAATCCTCCCTAACGCCATTAATTTTCATGAGGTTCCATGTTTCTAGCCTGAACAGACCAACAGAGAGTCCTTTAGCTTAATATCAGCACCAAAACCATCCAAGTTCTTAAGAATACAAAGCTCGGCTTTGCTAGGAGATTAATGAATGCTCAAAAAAGTATGTACATAAAAACATCCTCCCCACCGAGGCTTTAATGCTCCAAAGCAACATCTGGATGTTCCATTTCAATGGGACTCTCTTCTCGCCACCCCTGGGTTAGACAACCCATGACCTTGAGCGCTCCAAATACTAGCCTCTTCTGCTGTTACAAACTTAACAGATATAAACTACTATGAGCTTCTTCATGAGACGGATGACCTGTTGGACAGAGTGCTGGACTGGGAGTCAGGAGGTTAAGCCTTGTCTCAGTCACTTGCTGTATGACCTAGGCAAATCACTTAACCTCTCAGCCTCAGTTTCCTCCTCTGTAAAATAGGGATAATAACAGCATCTTATTCACAGGGTTATTGTGAGCATCAGATGAGGTATGTAAATAGCTCTACAAACTTTGAAGTACTATATAAATGCTACCTATTATATTTCCTTAGGAAAACAAAAAAAGATTTCAACACTTCGAATCTCTATTATATACAGCTAATTTTAGAAGTATCTATTACATTTAAAATGGCATATCCAACATTGTCCTTATCTGTGTCTTCTCTGAAACTCTTGCTGCTTTCTGTGCATTTAAAAGAATATTTCATCAATACTCTTTTTTTGTATAAGAACCTACATGTAACAGATTTTCATGGAATCATATATAATCCCTTTTTTTTGTACTTTGTATTAGGAAATGCCTATGTTTCTTGATATTTGTCAAGTTTATTAAAAAAAGGAAAACTTAAAAAATTTTTAAAGACCTAGAGAAAATCTTCTGGAAAACAATTCTATACTGGTCCCTGGCTGATAGCATTTTCCCTACCCTCTCCCACTTCTTCTCAACCTTTTCTAATCTCCATGACACTAAATTTCAAAAGCATAAAGCTTAATCCCACAATACACACACACACACACACACACACACACACACACACACACGATTGACTGTAATATCATAGCAAAGCTTAGGATAAAGATAAGAATATTACCTAGTTGATTTTGCTTCTCCCCAGTTTTAAGAGTAACTCCTGCTGTTTTGAGAAGCTTTACAAAAGCACTATCATTCTCTATTACTTCATCCTGAACAAGTGATTTCCTTGGCTTTTTATTCACTTCATTCTTCTTGGCTTCAGAAAAAAGAAATATCTCATAGATTCCAGATGTTAAATGCAAACAAAACAAAGACAATAGATCTTTGATAAAACCCCCAAATATAAAAGTGGTTAATCACTGCTTACTCTTTCCATGTGTTAATTTTTACCTGAGAAATACAATTGTATAAAACTTGCAATGAAGAAATGACAAAAAATTTTCTACCTAATTTCAGTGTTTAAGGATAAATATAAGGAACACGGACTTCAGTCTTTCTTATGCACAGAGCTCAGACTGACTTCAACAGGAATTCAAAACATACTGAATAATCAGTAAAAACTAGAAGTAACATATGATCTGCCTTTCTATCAATCCTCCCTTTTCTGTATCTCTCTTTTCCTTTTACTTCCTCTTTGCCCCCTGAGTAAAATTTAAAACAAAATGCTGAAAAAATAAAAAATAATTTTTTAAAATATTGCTATGCCTAATAGATCCATCCAGCCATGATTTCCATCCTCTCTCTTTCAATGCAAATAAACATGGCCATAAAAATAAGAGACAAAATTCATTTATTGCACATCCCTTAAGCCCTGGTCTCTTCCCAAGAAAGTAAATACAGAGGTCTCTCATCGTTGGCAATATCAGATAGCATTATCTAAACAGCCCATTTACGTTTAGTAAATGGACGTTTAGTAAAATTACATTTAGAGATTGTTCCCATTTAGATTTAAACATTTTTCAATTAGAAAAAACCACAGGCTTCATAATACCTTTAATAAAGCATTGATAGGTACCAAATCTACTACTAAAACAAAAGAGTTCATTATTGTTAACTTCTTACACTTGGAAGTGTTTCTGCTGCTCTAAGTATACAAAAGGAAATCCCATATATATTTCCAACCAATATCTTGGCTCAAAGTCAGACACAAATTCCCCAAACTAGACAAGTTAATAAGCTCAACTATAAAACTTAACAATCAATAGACTAGAGTTCCCTTTACATTGAAACCAACCATTGTCCACTACTTCTTAAGCTTGGTATTGTTACTCAAGAGTTTTAGGAAAATAAATCATCTTCCTAACATAAAAAAAGCCATCCTTCCACCTAGATTATAAGCTCCGAAAGAGCAGGGACTGTGTATTATATATTTTTGTATCCCTTTCAACACCAAATATAGTGCTTTTTGCAAACTAGTCACTTAATAAATGGAATAACAGAAACCAAAGTTTCATTAGAAGTGTGTAGTAGAAACTCCTGTCCTGACACATGAATTCTCTATAGAACTCTATAGAGTTGTCTAAGAACTCTGTAGAACCCCAATAGCCAGGTACTCAGCCTCTGCCTGATCACCACCAGTGACAACCCATTCCAAATACTTGCTGAATGAAATCAATTACTATTCACATACTGGAGCAATCTTCTGCCAGGCTCTTTCTGTCTTCAGGTCTTGACAGTCTTCTTTTCCCAAACATTGTGGACAATATCTCCTATAGCCAAAACCACTTCCTATGGTAATGTCAGAAAGCATAAGTTATCCTCCAGATAGGTTTTGAATTCCTAAGTTGGATCTCAAAGGAAAAATGTTTCACAGAGCCAAATGGGTTTTAGTCTTTACATGAAACCTGTATGAATCCCAGAGAGCTATAACTGAAGTTCCATGAACAATCAATTTCCCTCTAAATTTCAGCCTCTCCCAGTACTGCATGAACCACAATTTTCTACAAGTCTCTCTTTTTGTGAGACCTTTGTTTTAAGTAACAATAGTTGAGGGAACCTGGCTTCTCAGACTATCCTCTAGTACAAATGTGGCAGTCCCTAATACATCTTGACAAATGTTTTTGCTGGTGTAGAAATAAAACCTCCCCACAGAGAGAAGTCCAGAGGAAGAATATAGAATACAGAACTCTCAATATTCCAGGCACTGTGCTAAGTGCTGGAGATACAAAGGAAAACAAAATTAAAAAATAAAAATTAGTCTCTGTTCTTATGGTTCTCAGTCTAATGCGGAAGACAATATACAAACAATAATGGCAAAGACAATATACAAACAACTTCGTACAAATAAAATATATACAAGATAAAATGGAGATAACTTCAGGGAGAAGGCACTAAAATTAAGGACTGGAAAGGGCTTCTTGCAGAAAGTGAGATTGAAGGAAGCCAGGCACAGATGAGGAAGGAGAGAATTCCAGGCATGGGAACAGCCAGTGAAAATGTCTGAGGTTGGAAGATGTACTATTGTGTCCTAGGAAAGACAAGGAAGACTGTTATCATTAGATCCCCTTTATTTTACAGATGAGAAAACTAAGGCTCACAGATGTTACAATGACTTGCCTAAGGTAACAAAACAGTGAAAGAACCAAGATCCAATTAATTAAAAAAAACCTCTTCCTAGTATAGCAAAATCCTGGTGGTGATGTTTAAAATTCCATTCCTCTGAATTAAGCATAGCCACTCCCAGGTTCCTCTTTTATTATACAAATACTTTCAGGAGTCTTAATTCCCTAACCCATATTAACAGTTTAAAGCAATTTTGTGTGGGTCAGGGACTACCCTCAGGCAAAGTAGTAAAATATGGTTATGTTAGTATTGTTTTTCAATTATGTCTGACTCTTTATGACCCTGTGGTCTGTAACATATCACTACTGTCCATGGGATTTTC